TTTTCGCTATAGGGTGTGTGCGCTTGCCAGACAGACAGAGACATAGAGACAGAAAGCGAGAAATCACCCCTCAGGGGGGATGGTCACGCTGCAATCCCTTCTCCTCTATTCTCCTCCCAGGATCTTGAGCACGCACGCACATGCGCCTGGCGTGAGTTCTAAGCTACCAGGTCCGGGACACAAACCACGGTTGACTACGTGGGAGTCCAGTGACATAGCCATTACGCTAACTGCTGGTTCCCAGTTCTATAGTTTTGAGGCTCAACGCCTGGGAATGACAGTGGGTATTTTTTTTCACAGCAGCAGAGAACACTCGGGGACAGTCAGTTTTGGGAGGGAAAATGAAGGCATGATAATGGATTTTACATCTCAGGTTGTAGAATTAATAAGGCTCTTGGACACAGTTTCAAAGAATGGTCTTATTAGAAGAAAACTTTTCATAATTCATAGATAGACCAGTTAAACTTTTTCATTTGTTTGGGATGTTGTCCTCCTAGAAAGCACTCAGCTTTTGGGTAAAAAGAAAAAAATCAGATGTCATTTAAATCCAGTACATTTTTATAGTCTACATCCAGTAACCTGTATATTTCTAGTTTTTCTGAGCTGGAATAGAAAATTGTTACTTAACTTGATTTATAGACTCCATCAAGGTTTTTGAAAAGACAATGACATAAAAGAAAGACTAATCAGTTTAGAAGTCAAGTATCAACCAGCTTATTAGTTATGCATTTAACAAATGAATGCCAATCAGATGCTTTGGATTAAAAGCCTTCACAGTTCAGTTAGTATTTCCTTCAGAGCCTCTTGCACTTTTTTTCTGTTTTCTTCATTTCAGGTCATTATTCCACAGTGACTTTGGAGAAGCAATTTTCTTAAGAGAGTACAAATTGGATTATTCCCTTTTATTGAACCGAAATTCTCAACAAGGCTTTCCATTAATGAGATGTTGTATCTACATTAGGCTAAAAAGGCTAGTTTGAGTCATTTAGTTAGCATTTCAGAATTAGAAATCATTGATTAAGGCCTCACTAATAAGGAAAGTTAGTAATAAAAAGGATTCCACTAGGTGTTGTTAACACAGCCATGAAAATGCATACCAGATAAAAAGTGGCAGTGCTAGGAATTAGAATTAGCTTGACCATTAGCACATTGGTAACACCCAAAATGTGAACTCTTTGTCAAAGTCTCTGTCAGTAATTTTGCTCAGGACAATCCGACTTGTAGTCTAGGTCCAGCCTGACAGCAGTTCCAGAGGGAAAGAAACTCTGCTTTGACTGAAGCACACATTACTTTGATAGGAATCCCTATCCGGAACAAGAAAGAGTTTTCTTTAACATGATAGGAAAAAAAGATTAAGCACATATGTGATTTTAAAATATATGTATATATTTGGTATTTTTCCTATGTATGTTTTTCCTTGTGACCTGACAATTTTTTTTTTTCCTTTTCCAGTTTAAGATTGATAGAGAATGGTGGACATGGATCGATTATAACCGCTTCCAGGAGCTCGTCCAGGAATATGAAAATAGTGGTGGATCAAAAACTTTCAGCACAAAGGATTATATGGCAAAAACTCCTCACTGGGCATTATTTGGTGCCCGTGAAAGAGGCTTTGATCCCAAGGACAAAAGATATCAGAGAAAGAACAAGTCAAAGGATATTTCTGGATGTTGAGATATCTGACTTCAGGATGCTGAAGGACAAAAACTTGGTGACCCCAGAAGGTTCTTGGACTCTACTGTGATTTTTTTTCCAAGGGCAAATTACACAAATTATATTTCATATTGACGAGATTTTAAGACAAAACACAGGGACAGGAGACATTTTGAGTGTCTGAGACTCAGCCTTGGCATTTGTTTCAGAAACTCAGTCCCTTTTATGATTTTACTTCTGAGAGGGAAATTTTTGTGTGTGTAGGGGGGAAGTACACAATTGTCATTTAGGATTTAACTGATAGTTTTTAATTATAATTAGTAAGCCTTTCTAGACTGCTGTTTATGAGTGTGTCCATGAGGGATGAGTATCTGTTTCTGTTTCTCTTTCTCTTTCTAGGCCATTAGCTTTTTGTGGAACAACCATTTACTGTTGAATTGTATCCTTAGTTAAATGTATCTGCTCCCTCTAAGATAAGAATGAGATCCCTTTCTTATATCTTAAGATAAAACCTCCTGGGGCCAGCCGGTATCATGGTGATAAAGGCAGCTGGATCCCACATGGCCACGTGGTTCAAATCACAGACCCAGCAGCTTGAAAACTCTGGGTACATGTGTGTGCATGCCCAATATCCCAAAAGGAGGGAAAAATGGAAGAAAAGGGATTGCAGAAAAGGAGGGAGCACAGGGTGGGGGGGATGCTTTCTCACTTTTCTTCTCTCTTTCTCTCTCTTTGCCAAGTACACATACCCTTTAGCAACTTCAAAAAAAAAAAAAAAATAGATACCTCCCAAACATAATTTAAAATTGTCACAGTTCTCAATTATTTTCAAATACCATATAGATTACTTCAAAGTTTTTCTTATTACCAGCTCTTTATAAAATTTGAATTGGATTTAAAACTATCCTAGACTTTATACTGTTTCCATACAAATTGCCATGGAAGGTGACATGTGGGCCGGATCAGAGTAAAAGCTCTCTTCTGTAAGGGGACTTTATCTGCTCATGTGATGGCATTGAGTAATTAAGCTCATAAACGTACTTTGGAACAAGGAATATCACTGTTTTCTGCTTAGAAGGCCATTGGCCCCACTCTTTTCACACTCATACAGCGGGTCTATCTTCTGTCACTCTTTGTGGCCCTTCCTGTGTTACACAATCTGGTGCTGTTCTTCTAAGCCCTATCAAACACACTTCATCCTTACATGGCAGTCTTTTTGTAACACCTTCTACTCTGTGCTGAAGTAAAATTCATAGGTAATACTCTCTACCTGTCCCTACCTCAGGGGCAGTCAGTCTTGGGAGGGAAAATGAAAGCAAGATGATGAATTTTACATGTTGGGTAGTTCAAAACTGGGCACAATATTTATTTCTAAGTGGTAGAATAAAAACAGTTCTCTCTGGGGCCAATAGGTGGCTGGGGGTGTAGGCGCCTTGATCCCACATGGCCGACTCTATGGCTTGAGCAGAATGCCTAGCGAAAGTACATGTGTGCTCAGGATCCCTAGAGGAGAATGGAGGAGAAGGGATTGTGGAGTAGCCATTCCCCCTGCCCCCTCGGGGAGGGGGTGTGTGATTTCTTGCTTTCCCTCTCTGTTTCTCTCTGGTGAGCGCATGTGCCCTCTGGCAAAAACCTAAGAAAAAACAAAAACAAACCAGTTCTCCCCATTGTACATGGGTTGAGGAATATAGGAAAAAACAACTATTTTTCTCTTTGTGCCCACACCAAAGTACTCTCAGTGTTTCACTTCTGACACTAGATATGTGTGTTTCTTTTTACCCACACCAACCATCTGACTGCAACTGGTATTCTATAATTCGTTTCTCACACTAACTTGAATTAGTGCTGACTCCACAGAGAAAGGCCTCGGTCCCACAAGACCATTGCCAATGCAGATGCCAGCCACAGATTGGTCCCCAGAGTGGTCACAACTTCTGTCTACTTGGCCACAAATTGTGGTTCCCATGATCCCCTTGTCAGGTTTGCACATTTTGTAGAGTAGTTCACAGAATCCAGGAAAACTATTTACTTACTATTGTTGATTGATTACCAAGGATGTTTGAAAGGATACAGGTGGAGAAAGATATAGGCCAAGGTCTGGAAGCGTCCCAAGCACAGAAGCTTCTATCCTCATGGAGTTGGGGTACACCTCCCTCTAGCAGGTTAATATATTCACCCACCTGGAGGCTCTCCAAACCCCATAGCTCAGGGATTTAGTTCAAGCTTCATCGTTGGCATGATTGATCTCCAGCTTGTCTCCCTGGAGGGAAGGAATGGGACCCAAAGTTCCAAGCTTCTAATGGTGGTTTGATCTTTCTGGTGACCAGGCCCCACCCAGGAGCCCATCAAAAACAAGCTCTCATTAGAACAAAAGATGCTGCTATCACCTTGGAAATGCCAGCAGATTGGGAGCTCTGTGTCAGAACCTAGTCAAAAACCAAATATTAGGACAGGAAATTCTCCGAGCGTCCTTATTGTCTAGGAAATTAAAGAGTTTTAGGAGCTCTGTGCCAGGAACCAGTAGCAGAGACTGAATATGCATATCTCATTATGTCATAGATGGGATGACAAAGTATAGCAAGAATCCTGTCTTTTTTCTTGAACCCACCACATCTTCAAGCTTGTTTAGTATCCTGTTCTATTGACTTATGACCTAGACAGGATTGGTCTAGATTAATGAATCAGGATAATTTAAGTGGATGCATTTTATGGTATGTGAGATGTGGAGAGTTCCTAAGAAAATAGGCAAGCAGGGGTTAATAAAAGAGAGCCCACAATGAGCCTTACCTAAGGAAATAAGTAAACTCACTCGGGTTACTAAAAGGACCCAGGATAAAGCCCCCAAGATAAGCTTTCAGAACAGGGGAAATAAACTTCTAACACCTCTGGCACTACCCCCAGCACTCCTTCAGCTGATAGACATCCTGAATTTCTGAGCAATGCGAACCAATCAATAAAGCTGTTTAAAAAAAAAAAAAGGCAAACCTAGAAGTTTATGCAACTTAAGATAAAGGAAGCATCACATATGATTGGAGATCTGGGAGAAAAAGAGTATCGCTCAATTCTTTATACTGTAAATGGAAGAGGTATGCAAAGTAAGAAGCTCAGAGAAAAGCTTAGGTGAGAAAGACCTTTCTTGAGCTGAGGCTCCCAAACTCCCTTACATCGGACACTCCTGCAGAGCTAAACACACATTGTAGTTTCTGATTGTGTAGGTCTTCAGTGGAACGGAATTTGTATTTCTGTTGTTTCCTGGTGATGCTAATACTTCTAACCCAGAGACCACACTTCCAGAACCATTTGTAGATCTAAAAACTGTATGGTAAGAAATTTTTGAAAGGCCCCAACGTGCTTGACTGTAGAATGCTTCTAAGTATTTTATATATGAAGCATCACATCAACTATTGGGTCATCTGAAAAGTCGTGACACATTTTTGCATATAAAAACAGACAAAGTATGTCATGACTTTTCTGACAACCCCATAAAAAGGCAAAACAAAAATAATTTGCACAAAGTGTGATAGACACATTACTCAAAGAACTCATATAGTTTAAAAAAATATTAAGACTTGACTGGTTAAATGATCAAAGGACATAAGACAAAGTTATAAATGAAGATTTATAGATGACTACAAAATAGGAAGACTGTTGTTCACTTTCACCAAGGAAATACAAATTGAAACTTCTTCATCAAGTCAAAGTTTTTTTTAAATCATTATATTGGGGCCGGCAGGAGGCATGGTGGTTGTGGTGCTGGACTCCCACTTGGTCAACTGTGGTTCAAGTCCTAGATCTTGAGGCTTGTTTTCTCAATTTATCTTTTTTTCTCTCTCTCTGGTAAGATTAAAATAATAATAATAATAACTAAAATAAATAAATCTTTTAAAGAATCATTAATGTAGAATATGAGTTGTTTTGTTTATTCACTTACTACATGAGCGAGAGAGAAACAGCACATCCGTTAGGGTCTTGATGTCATGATCCACACCTAGCTTCAGCCAACCCTGGATAATGGACACACTTAATGCCTGAGGTACGCAGGAAGGTCTCCAGGTTCCAGATGTGAACCCAGAACCTTCCCATGTGGGTCAGCCTCACAGAGTATTGAGGCAGGAGACAGCTAGCAAATACAAGCAGGGAAAGAGGCTGGAGTGTCTGCCTGTGTGGCTAGACAGAAAAACTGGTCAGGGCAGAAAATTCCCTGCCCAAGGTAATGTTAGCAGGATTCCAGGTGGTGATATCTAGCTGATTAAAACACATTCAGTACAGCCAATGAGATGGATCAGTGGGTCCAGCCATGTCTTATAGAGCCAATGAGATGAGAACAATCAGTGGGCCCAGCCAATTATCAACCAACAGGACCTAAATTTAAAAAATGATGAACTGGAGCCAGGAGATGGTGTAAGAATTATGTCGCTGGATTCCCACGTGGTGGACTGCAGTTTGAGCTGGTGGCTTAAAACTCATGCTGTGTGTGTGTGTGTGTGCCCAAGATCCCAGGAGGAGAATGGAGAAGAAGGGATTGCAGTGTGGCCATTTCCCACTCGGGTGATATTTCACTTTTCCTCTCACTGTCTCTGTCTCTCTATCTCTCTGTCGAGTACATACATCCTAAGGCAAAGACCTCTAAAAAAAAGAATGTCAAGGCCTTTTGAGCCGCTCTTTGCTCAGGCCTGCTCCTATCTCTTGGGATTGTACTTTCCCTTTTACTTAATAAACTACCTTTTTCTTTAGCTATGGGTATGTTTCATTCAATTCTTTGAAGCATCAAGAACCTGAATATCATTGCAGAAGCCATCCCACCTTAGCATCACATTTTACCACTGCCCCACTGCCTGGTTCCAGAATAGAGACTTGCTCTGTCTCTAGCGAGCATACATGCCCTATAGCAAAAGGAAATTGGCAATATCTACCAAGAACCTTTATCTTCACCTTGGGTTAAATGATTTAAAGGAAAAAATAGTTGTATGTTTAAAGATATTTATTAAAGCATTTTATAATAGCAAACCCCAGGAAGCTAAAATAAAATGCAGAGGCAGGGTGCCAGCAGGTGGTGTAGTGGTTGTGGTTCTGGACTCCCACATGGCTGATGATGGTTCTGAGTCCTGGACCTAGCGGCTTGAAACTCAGCAGGGCACATGTGCATGTGTGCTCAAAATTCCGAGAGGATAATGGAGAAGGAATCGTGGGGTGGCCATTCCCTCAGGAGGTGATTTCTCACTTTCTGCCCCCCTGTCTCCAGCGAGTGTATGTGTCCTATAGCAAAACTCTCCTAAAAAATGCAGTAGGCATTTAATAGTTCTTGAAAGAATGGCAAAATTATTGGGTTGTTGGA